TTCAAAGGATCGGTATGGTGGCTTCAAGCCTTCTCTGTCTTTCCCTGCTAAAAGTTGATGTGTTCCTCTTATGTTTCTTAGCAGCCTGCAGAAGAGAAGCCTTCCGTAACTTGTCACCAAGCCTGCAAGGAACTTGCTGGGGCTAGCAGAAATGCCGACACCGAGAATGAGCTTTTGTAAAGGTGGAAAGGATGGATGGAAAAAGGATGGAAAGGATGAAAAGAAGCATAGTGGGCTGGGAATTTTCCAGTGGAAGTTTATTTTCCCCTGGAAAGCCTAAGATGGGGACTTAGCATGGGAATGGAGGGAGCAGTTACAAACAGGATGCGATTTCTGGAAGAGACAGGAGGAAAACCTTGCTCTGGCATGGCCAAGAGCACAAGGGTGATGAGGGAAATAGATTGAAGTTCCTGTTGCACAGATTGGGGTCCCCCTGATCTAGATGAATGCCCCAATCCTAGGTCCCACAATATTGTTAATGAAGAGTTTCACACCCCCACCAGCTGAGTGACCGGTACTGAAGATCTGGCTCTGAAACTAGAGATACCCAGGAGTATTTGGAGATGGATAAAGGAGACGTCACTTAGCCATCACTTCAGGTCACTCCAGCTCTTCAGGTCACTCACCTGCAGCTTAAGACACAGTAAGTAGTATTCATCATAATTAATTTTAGGGTGTCGATCCTCCCACTTAAGAAACCAGTTTCACCTTACTAGTAAGGCTGCCTGTCTTTGGTGGGCAGTCATGTCCATGAAACTCTTATTACTTACTGAAAATGCTTCACATCAAAAGGGTCTCTTTTTCTCCTCCATTTCCCTCAGGGTCCAGCTATGACTCTGTCATAAATTGATGTACAAAGTATGAACAGGATGGTGGGGGTTTTTTATAACAACTTCAGCAATCTTTGTAGTTCATAACTAGGCATGCAGGGTTTTTATTAATTTAAAAGTGTTATTCCCCTTATGAAATATTCATCCCATAGGATTTCTGTGCACATGAAGGTTTTGAAGAAATTGATCTGCAATGCAGTTACTCCTTTAAAAGAATGATTTCTCTATTATCTCTCCCTTTCAGTTATACTGTATATACGAACACTGATTAAATGTGTGATCAATCTCACAAAATCAAACAGGTATGTATTTAACTGTGGGTGAATTTACTGTATGAGAGGGCGTATTTGGACAGCCCAGCATGCTGGATACTTTGCCATGCATCACTTTGTCTGCTCCTCCTCTGGCATCTTTGCAAGCCCTTGGCCTCCCCACCCTGTGGAGATGCCTTCACCCTGCTTCGCATCACCATGCTTGCCAGCTTGGCCGATGCTCCGTTGTCCCATCAAATGGCACGCATCTGTTCCCTGAGAGGGCTTTGTGATTGTAATGAACTGTGCAGGGAGAGGTAACTGTTCTTGGGCCATGATACAACAAAACAATTAAGCTTAGACATTTCCCTCAGTGTAAGCTGAGCCCTGTTGACTTCAGTTTCATTGTCATCTCCCCATATTCCTGTGCTGTTTTACAAATAGCTGTTCATTTCACTGGTGAGTGCTGTCATGTCCTTTCTGGACTGCCTCAGGTGGGTAATGATAGCTGGTTTCCAGCCCGCTATGAGTACGTACCATGAGATGAAATGTTTCCTGCAGTGCTGGACTCCAAGCAGGGTTCCTGAAAGGTAAGTGAGTCTTGTGTGATTAAAGACCAGAACTTAAAGGCCATGCAAAGGGGAGAGATGGGAGTTATTTTGACACCCTTCACAGCAGGATCCTTGCAAGGGCTGACACAGCAAAGCACTGGACTAAAAGCTATCTGATACGTCTCACAGGGAAAGAAAGCACTATCTCTGCTCCAAATACCCAAGCATTTCAGTCACTTTTAGCCTGCACATGATCCTTGCAAGAGGTATCATCCTGCTCCATATCATGCCAGCAGACCCGTCCAGCTGCACTCTCATCAGTCCCCTCCTCCTTCTGTCCCCACCACACCAGCGCTTGTTTTGGCAGCTTCTGTGCCCTCCCGCCCTGAGCAGCATTAAGCTGTGCTCCCCAGCCCCCCAGCACAAAGGGATAAAGAATAAAGGGCTGAGACTTTACTTTGAGGCATGATGAGAGTCCTCCTCAGGTGCATAACCCAGCTATTACCCCTGTTTCTTCCTCTCAGGCCACACTCTGAAGGATATCCCCCTTTGAGATTGGAAAATGTCCCCTTTTACCCTGCCCTTCTGGCCCTCTCCCCTCTCCTTGCACAGGGATACTTTGAACTAACACTGCCAACCCCCAAAGGAGCTAAGTGCAGGAGATTCGCTGGGCATTGTAGGTATTTCTGGAGGGATGTGAAGCCCAGATGCTGTTTGAGGCCATGTCTTGCCTGGTCACTGCTCAGTCTTGTAGTGTCCCCTGGTGTTTGAAGACATCAGCTCAAAGCAGCTGGAGCTGCAGTGCTTACCCCAGGGTTTATTTACCTGGGAACATCCAAGGAAGTAAGTACACCTTGGAGATGGACCTGCAGTGCAAAAACCCTTCTGCCATCTACCACTGTATTCCCAGGGACATCCCTGGTAACACTGTGCTCCCAAAAAGGACACCAAATGGTCATTTTCAGTACAAGCCTTCTCAGAATTGATATAAAAAGCTCACTTCAACATAAAACCATACAGAAATGTTTACATGGGGGGAACTGGAGGGATTTGCCTCTTGATTTGGTCTCCAGTGGACATAGTGTGACCATACTGTGCCTATGCCTGTTTTCCTCCCCACATTAACTCTGAAAGGCTGAAATCACTCAAATCCGAACGGGCACAATTCAGCTCCTATAAGCCTGGCAAGAATAAGCAGCCCTGCAGAAAATAGTAATGGCTCTTCATGCTTTCACCTATTTATAAATTGGGCATAAAATCTCTGGTGGGATGTGAGAAACAGAGGGAAATACAGCCTGGGATCATGGAGCTTACTCCATGAGTGAGAAGAGCCAGGAGGCCTTGCAGAGAAAGCCTGCTGGCTTCTCTTGTGGGCCCCTTCCCATGCTAGGGAAGAAGAGTAATATGATGAGCTGGAAAGTTTCTGCATTATGAGCCAAAGGATGTAAGTGCAGGAACATCCCAAACTCACAGTTTGAGCAATATATATGTGCACAGCTATATATATATGTATACACATACTATTTTGGTAGTTAAATCAACCCCTGTATACTAAAGCCTCTTATGTGTATATTAAACCTTATACTGAGAATCTCAAAGGATCAGATTCCTCAGGATTGCTGTAAGATTTGTGGATCCTTATCTTCATGGAGGATCAACTTGCGATAAATACATGTGAGATTTTCACATAATAAAAATCCAGATGGATTGTGTTGTTATCTAGCGTAAGTGCTTGACCTCAGCACTTGCTATGGCTAAAACCTACAAGGCAGTATTGTATTTAGAAAGCATGCCTTAGGTTTTGCTGTTCCAAGTTGGTAAACAAAACTGACTGGAGAGACATGCGAGTCTTGGTGAGCTAAAATGATGCTCACGGACAAAGTAGGCATCCAAGACTGAGAGTATTATCCTAGGTAAAATTTCAGCTGAAACAAAGTTGTTGTTAAATGTAGTTATCTCAAATGAAAGAATATAACCTACTGAAATTGCATTCGAATATTTATCTGATCCCTAGAACTAGTTTGATTCTTTTTAGCTTCAAAATTTATTGGCACATCAAACTAGTACTATTCATTTCTGTATACCTTTTTGAAGACAGAGGTCATTTACTGTCTTTGCATACCACCTGATGTGAACTTCGGTTAGTTTGCTGGACATGAGTTTTATAACACAAACAGCCAAACTTTGTAATGTTGACTGAACAGACACATACCTCCCTTTGTATCTTATTAAATCTCACTAATTTTCTGTGCTTTAGTTAAATTCTCTTACTTTTTTTTTTGTTGGTTTTTTTTTTTGTATGTTTTTTTTTTTCTTGAAGAGAAAACAATGACCTGGGGAAAGCACTGACATCCAGCACTTTCTGTGGCACTGTTAAACACCATGTTGTGTTTCTCTTTAAAGCAAGACAGGCATACATGGAGAGAGAACAGCAGTGAAAAGGCACAGCCCCAGTTCTAATGTGCACCGCGTATGAGCTGGAAATCCATCCATAATCAGGAAAAGATTTGTGCGAGCTCCCATCTACTCCCAAACCTAGAGAGCTTTTCAAGCTGGCTCCCAAGTAATTTCCCTTTTGCAGGGGCACTGCAGCAATTGCAGATACTTCCAGGAGGTGGCAGGAATATTTTTTGCAGAGAAGGAGGAGAGAGAAGGATGAAAAGGAGGAAAGAATACACCTGGCAGCATCAATCTGAAAAGCCTTTTACTCTTCCCATGCTGAGGTGGGTGCAGCTGTCTTCACATGTTGGCCTCTGGGGGACATCCCTGGTCCAAATCACAGAATCATAGAATGGCTAGGGTTGGAAAGGACCTTAAGCATTCTATATATCGCGATTTTCTAAAGAGGGGATATAAAATAGTTTGGTCCCCATTTGGCAATGAGTAGACAAGCCAAGAGGGTTAAAGGGAGAGAATCTTCCACTCTGCACACATTTAGTTAAATGCTATCAGTAGCGCGACACACAAAAGCCTTCAATAGTCTATCCTCTCTGGGAAGTTACTGGTCATATACTGCTTACTGGCAACGTCGAATTATGTCGGAAATACTTCTGATGGGAAAAAAAAAGCAGTGTTTAAGCAGAAAGGGAACCTGGTTCTGAGGCTGTTCTATAGGAGACAGGTGGTGAAGGGCTTAACAAGGTGTGGTGCAACGCCCTCATGGGCATAATGGGCTACTGAGGAAGGTGATGGGCTGCTGTTGGGGGTGATTAGGCTATCAAGTGGATGCCTGACGGCCTTCAATGCTGCCTAAGCCAGGTGGAAGAGGGAGTGGTGTTGTTTCATGGTTCTGTTCTGCCCATGGACAGCCAGACCAGGGCTCTCATTATCCCTCTTTTAAATACCCAGATGTAAGGAAGTGCTTCCCTGCACCATTCAGGGCAGCAGCACCAGGTAGTTTGGGATTTGAACTTCGCTGTCAGAGGATAAGAACATGACTTCACTTTGTAGACAAGTTTGTTGGCTCCTCTATCCTCCCCAAAGCAGGGATGCCTCTTTGGTAAGTTTTGCACCTGAAGCTACATTGGATGATACTCTGTGAAACTAAGCTTAATGAATTACCTGTTGGCTATGTTTCCATAGGAGCTCAATTAATTATTAGTTTGCTTTGGGTTTTAGCATTAGCACGAGTGAGTTTGTCAACAGCCATTCCCAATCTGTATTTCTGTTGCTTCAATGAACCACGCTATTCATGAATCTGTAACCATGGAAGCTCTTACTGAGTGTGACTGTATTATTGTGTTGAATTGGTTGTGACTAGAAATGAAGCCTGGCTGTCCCCAGCCCCTCTGATCTCTTGAAGAGTGACTGAAACTCTAACGTTTATTTTCTGCTCGATTCCTATACTCAACATAATGTATTACCCCATTCCCTAAAGTACAAAGGAAGGCTGGAGGATTTCTGAGCAGATCTGGATTCTCAAATGTCTTTGCTCTTCCTACTTCAATCTATGGGTCTCATAAAGGTGACTGCATGTATTGTTATCTCCAGGTATCCCAAGATGGACAGGTGACCTGAAAATCCTGTCCTCCAAAAGCATTCTTTTGTGCTTTGAACTTAGAGGGACCCAACTCTATTGTTAGTATTATTGTCATTACCCCTTAGTAGCATCAGGTGTTGCTGTGGAGGATCAGCTTTGTTGTACATGCACTACAAAACCAAACCATTTTTCAGGGCCTCATTCTCACAGCTGTACCCTCTAAGCATGTAACCTGAGTGCTGCTGAAGCACTGGGGTTTGTAGGGTGTCCTCTGAACTCAGCCTCTTGAGACAAGCTGGCATTACAGCAGCAGGGATATTTTCTCAAGGAAAGACTTCTCTATTCAGAAATTGATTTTTGACACACTTTAGTGGGACATTATTGAAACCATTTGTAAAATTGCTGTGCTGTATTCATATTGTATCATGCAGGAATTGGAGCAGTAGTGTGGAAATGAACCATTTCAATCTCAGTTAATATGAATTGTTTCAGTCTTATTAAAACACTTTAAGAAGGTCAAAGGAAAATATTGTTGCAATATTTTGCAACAGGGAAGATTTGCCTTTGAGATCACATATAAGTGTGATCATTCCCCAAACAACATGCTCTAAAAAGCCTCACAATAAAGAACCATTCTGCAGGGTAAAGTTAGTAGTCTGAATTTGGAGTTGTTTGACCTAAGAATTTTCCTGCATACGCAGCATCTTAGGAATCTCAGTAAACTATCAGGAAATACTTGCTGACCATCCTGAGGTCCTAATGGTGGTTCTCCATCCCCTGGAAGCTCCTCTAGGTTCATTTTCACTGGGTTTAGTGACCACTGTGTAAGTTATTTGGGCTGAGGCTGCACCCTTGATGTGCATTGACTAGGTTTTTGAGCCCCAAATTTCATTTCTACCTGTGTGTGCCTATGTATTTGTGCAAAGCCAGAGGTCTGTCAGCAGACCAAAGCATTTGTGGGTTAGTTTCAAAGTATGTGGGTGGTCTAAGGGGACCAATGTGAGCAGTAGATCTGATGGGGTAGTTCCATACTGAGACCCTGCTGTCAGCATCTTTCAAAGCAGGTGTGTTGTGCATGCTAGGTGTGATCTGTAGAGACTCTCTTAGAAAACCAAGTTTCTGCTTGAAGTGTTGATATATCAAAAAAGCTTTAAAGCCTTGAGGTGGACTTGGATTCCAATCTCTTGTCACTTTAAAGGAAAACAGCCTGAATTAAATCAAGGAGAGGTGGAAAATGTCTATTACACACTTGTCTTGGGGTAATGTAACTGCATTTTGTGCTCATCTCTCAGGGCAGATGTGTATTTTAGCTCCTGGTTTTCCTCAGCATTTGCTTTTCAGGTGTCTAGAAGCTCTGGAAAAGGTATCAGCTGCTGAGACAATTCATGTTCCTGTCTTAAAAATGCTGGAGAAAACGTGCCTACCTTTGGGACCAAGAAAGGGAGTGAGGAAATGGAGACACACCAGTCTAAGAAGCTTTCTGTATGCCACGCTGATGGGCTGTTGCCCTTTGTTCAGAGCACAGTTCGCATACCTTCAGACCCTGAGACAGAAAACATGTGAATGGTCTCCATCTGAAGCATGGGCCAACTCATCCCTGTATTAGGAAGGCCACTGCTTTTCTGTGATCCTGTTGTGCAAACTTTCATCACACAGATATCTTCAGGTTGTGTCTTCTGCCCCTCAGTTTTAGACTGACTGCCAAGGCCAATCACTGACCTTTTTCTTATCCGTTTTTAAACCTTCCTATAGTAAAACTCATCACTTATTGAAAATGTAAGCGTTTTATTTTCTACTTTCTCTTCCTTCATTAATCCCCTTTGTCTTTCACCCTCATTTGTAATACAGGGGAATGAGAAAACATCTCTCATTATTTAGCATTAATATTAGTGTTAGGTTTCTATGTGTTCTTTTGCAGAAGTTACCAGAACCTCCTTCAAAAGACCAGTATGTATCTGTAACCAGGGTTTGCATTTCTAGATCATTAACAAACATGGATTTATGAAATTCTGTCAGTTTGTTTCTTTATCACCGAGAAGGAGAAACAGACACCCCTTCTGCTGTCATCTCCTTTGAAAGCATTTAATACTTTCTCTTCATAGTTCCTCTGCAATTCATGCCAAGAAAATATTCCTGCAAGGTCAGGTCTGCTGGGGAGGCCAAATGAAATGTTGGACCTCAGTGGTATTATGAGATCATCTGGACAGGTAATATTGGCCTTGGGAAAGAGCCTTCCTCCTTGAATTCATAGAGCTGGCTGCAGCCAGCTTGTTTTTTTTAGGAAATAAAACAGTCTTTGAAGGGCCTTATCTACAACTAACACCCGGTAGCTTAAGCCTAAGAGACCCTGGGCTGCTATATCTAGTTTTTCCTTTCTCCTGCCTAGCTTCTGACAGCACCTAACCTTGTTGTATTGGCTTTCTTTCTCTAGGAAGTGGGAGAAATGGCAAGCTTTGCCTTAGAAGGCAAAGAGGACCAAAATATGCCACAGAACTATAGGCAGAACTGTTGCAGCAACTGCAGCAGGTTTCTTCTTCTGGTCTCTGTACCTATCTGTAACCATAGTTATTTGTCACCAGAAGACCCAAGGCTGGATATAAAAATCTTTTTTTCCCCCTGTGTTCTTGCTTTAGTCTCCCAGACTAAAAACACCCCAAGCAATCTGATAAACAAGGAAAAAGCTGACATGATGACCAAGTCACAGAAAGCTTGCATAGGTCACCTGATTATCACACCTTGCTCTGTGACTGCTGAGGAGAGAACAGCTGAAATGCATTTCATTGAGATTTCATCCAGAAACAAGGGAAAGCCCTAAATTTGCTCAGAAACACCTGAGCTGCCCAGTGTTAAGGAGTCATTCAAGGCTGGGCACAAGTGTGGGGATTGATGAGATTGCTTTGGGCTCCAGGCAGTCTTTCAGTGTAATGCTAAAGCTTGTTTCTTCATCAGAAGAGCAGTTTAGAAAGGAGTATCCTGCTTTATTAATTCTGTGAAGAGTTGCGCCTGCCTGAGCTAAGTGTGGAAACTACATGGAAATATCCATTCAAGTCTTGACTGTGAAGGAATGAATTAGTGAGCTAATGTCTTTTTGTGGTCCTTGCCCAGCTCTCTCAGCCCGTCTTCACAGGAGGAAAAAGTTTGTGGGGATGCTGTATGGGTCTGTTTATGTTTTTCTGAGTGGGTCTTCCAGTTAATGCTCCTTTGAGGTGAATGAAGCATTTCACATCTTTCCTAGCATTTTTTCCCTGCTCTGTAGGTCAAACCAGCCACCAAACTGGTCTTGGCCTGTTGCTTTGAGGGTTGTGGTTTTGCTGTGTTGTCAGAGAAGGAGCTTGTTTTGCTGCAGGCAGGGTAAAGGGCAGCCTTAGAGGAAAGCCAGCCTCAGATGCTGCTGTGTTGTTTCATGTTTAATTAATGTGACTTTGGTTTGTATTTTTGAAAGAAAGCTTTGGGTTTTTTTTGCTTTGGTGCTGCATTTGTTGGGGTCTCCTTAAACCCGCTTGTTCCCCATAGGCGATTACAGCTGCTTGGGTACCTCTTTACATGGTGGTTTGAGAACAGTGCTGGCCCTTCTGGAGTAGAGGGAGGTTTGTGCAGGCACTCTTTTCCTTGTCCTCCTCTTATGAAGGGCTGTGAGAACCTCTGTAGTGTCTGTGCCACCGGCACATCCTGCTGCTGCCAGGCAAAGCAGCCCCTGCAGACCTCAAAGTGCAGGAGGAAGGTTGCTATTTCTCCTTGGAACAAGCACTCCCATGCAGCCTTAAGGGAGTAGGGGAAGGTATTCCCACTGTTTTTTTTCTTCCCATTTAAGGTAGTGGGGATCATACTTTCTGAAGCATACTGGAATTGGTAAAATAAAGCTGGCCTTCTGAAGAAACTTGCATTTATTTGAGTGAGTGGTTTTTTTTTTCTCTCTGATTGTGTGGGTGTGTATATATGCTGGGAAAGGCAATAATGTTTACTGGAATTGTACTACAAATGGTTGGTAACTTCCAATTCGCTACACGATAAATATCATAATTGATACTACAATATGTTAACATTCAAAGCATAAGCTTCTCTTTCATATGGATTTATTTTCATGCATGAATAGTGTGGAAGGTTTTGAAGACATCTTCTTTCAAAGACTAGGACATCTTTGAATCTTCTGTATGAAGAGGATGATAAGACCTCTTTTATGAATAGGTGGATATTACTGGGCTTTTGTATATAGAAATAAATGATAGAAATTGTTAAAAGCATTTTTTTAAGTCTGCAGAGCTGGGTTGAACAACTTGCATCTATGTTAAATCTTGGGAACTGGTCAGCAAATCTCAGTGCTTTCACTTCTGTCTGAGCAGGTAATATTAGACTTGTGGTAAATGATGGAAACTATCTGGTCCATTGAAGTTTAGACCAGGTGATCCTTGAGATACTTTCTAACCTGGTATTCTATGATTGTGATTCTGTTGTCATATTGCAGAACATGGAGGGGAATCCTTCCTTTTAAGCTGTAATATAACTTGCAGAAAAAATAGGAT